AATGTGGACACAAAAGAGAAGAGAAGAGAAGAGCAACCGGTCATCTGCTCTTTTAGAGTCTGATATTCAGGCCGACCGAGACAGAGGACTTATTCCCGAAATAGACTGATTACAGATCCTCTTATCCATCCAATATTGCAAATTGGTTTACGGACTCGGTTCGGGCTCGCCTGACCGACCTCATCGTCTAGCCCAATTGGCAGCTCTGGCGACACCTACAATGGCCTTGACTACAGCAAACCTTGTGGTAGCCCGGACATATAAATACTTATAAATCACATCAGTATCCCGAGTTGATCGACAAAAGGTTCGAATCCTGCTGGGAAGTTGATGAGACAACGAAGCAAGTAGGAAAAGGCTTTTGGGGATGCATATAAAAGTGGAGTTTATTGCAAAATTCAAGCATTATCTTCCATCGTGGACAGACTTGTTGTCAGTGCAACAAGAAATCAGTCGAAACTGGTTCTCAAACTCTTTATTCTGGAAAGGAAGCATCGGAAATTGTGGGATTCGGGTGGTCACGAAGCCGTATGACCCTCTGCTGACTAGTTGGTCGATTGGTTGGTACTCAGTGACTATTGCCGCAAGAATGACCCCATTTGTATCTGGTTTCAGATGGGCTGCCTTTTCCCACTTCTCAAAGCCGTCGAACGGGCAAGCTGAGGATTAGCAACAAGTTCGGACACGAGGTCCGTTGTCCAGATCTTAGAGCAAGCTTTCAACGGAAAAGTGAAATCCGAACCCAGGTACTCGGCAGTACCATGTGGCAGAATGAAGGCTCCCCGCAAGCCTGCGGATACATGAAGGCTTTCAAGGCTGAGAGGGCTTCAGGCCGGGCGGACAAGACGGGCCGAGGGGGTGGGAGAGACTGAATGCTCGCCCCACAACCGCGAAACGACCAGCCAAATCAGGCACATCCCCTGGTTCGTCTACCTCTCTCAGACCGGCACGTCTGGATTCCCCAGCCTCTGGGCTCCCGGACCCCAAGGCGACGGTCGTCCAAGCGGGTGAGGGCGGAAGCAGCGGGTCAGTCTGAGGCTGGTGTGGGAACAGGATGTGCAAGTGGAGCCGAGATTGCAGTGTGGGGCGGTCAATTCGAGACAAAGCGAAGCAAGGCGCGGCACTGTTGTACCGGATAGAAAGTGGACGAGCATTTGTTCTCGAAGTGTTCGTCTCTTTCTTACTCTTTCTCTCTCTCTCTTTCCATGAGCCCACACTTAAGAGGCTACGTGAATCCATGCTTGCATGTGTCCCTGTCTGGTGTGTATATGTGCATGCCGATTGTCCGTATTCCTGTACATCTCCTTCTCTGCCTGGCTGTATATCTCTATGCACGTATGTACGTGCGTATGTATGTATGTATGTATGTATGTATGTATGTATGTATGTATGTATGTATGTATGTATGTATGT